AAATAAAGATTAATTTTTATTTTTTAGTATTAATATTAAAAAGGTACAATAATTATGTTATAAGGCATATATTAAAAAAATTTATATATAATATGACATTCATATAATATAGTTTAGACTTTATATTAAAAATATAACTTCTCTTATAAATTTATAAAAATATCTTTAATAGAAAAAAATATATAAATGTATTAATAATGTTTTGATAAATTTATTAAATAAATTATATTTTTAACGTCTATTATGTCAAAATAAAATATTTTTTTGAATTTTTATATCATGTGTTTTTAAGATACATATTAAGATTATTTTTATATAATAAACTTACATAAAATATAAAAATAAATATTAATTTTAATATTAATATTATATGAATAAAATTTAATTATATAATTAATAAATTAAATAATTTTTATTTTTTTAATTTTTATTTTATATCCTTATGAGTTAAAAGATATATATATATATATAACTTATTTTTTTTATAGCATTACGATCAACTAAAGTAACAGTTGTAGATGCTTTATGGGTTGTGGCGTGCCATCAATTACAAATACGTGTCAATGACATTCAGCTGTGACAGTCTTTCAATTCTTTTTTTTATAAACAGTATAAAATTTTTCAAAGAAAAAAGGAAGAAATTTTGAAATTTAATCTCAAATTTTTTAATTTTAAACACGTGCTGCATGCACGGGGTGATCATTTGACCACCGAGTACTGGACGACAGAGTTTTTCAATTTTTGCTAGACTAAATAGAAAAATAAGAAATCTGCTTTTACATTAATTGCCTAAAGACAGGTATGGTCACGGCTGCTGGGAGTGGTGGTCAATATTGGGGGCACAGGGTTCTCCTCCGGTACCATATATAAAATTAATTTTCAAATATAATGTATTGATTCAAAGATATCTTAATCAATAAAAAAATATAGATATCTTCAATGTAATAGTATGCACATGGTAATGGATGTGGTTATAAGGTCACCCAACATTAAATTTTTTTTTTTTTTAATTTGATAACATATCCCGCATCAAATGAATTGGCGAGTTGCTCGTAATCTGCTTTTGCATTTTTTAATTAGGACTTGGTTGCTCTCCGCGGCGAACAGTCTTCTAACGGAGCGGGGGTTTCCACCAAATATCTCTAACGGCGGTTTCCAAGGCTGCCGTTCTGGCGGTAGAATTGGAGAATGAAGCCACTTTGTTCTGCTTCTGCGCTGGCTGCTGCTAACTTCTGCTTCATCTTCTTCTTATCAGCAGCTGCAAGATCCAGAGCTCAAAATGCCACCACTGACCCTTCTGAAGGTACTTCCCTTCTTATCATCAGCATGTTCTAGTATTTTAATTGTTAAGACGTTTTGATCTTTATTTTTCTCATACTATGTATATAGAACTTGCAAAAATTTTATATAATTTTTTTTTTAAAAAAATTGAGCCACATAATTTTTGATGCTGCAAGTTAGACTATTTTAACTGTAAATCTAGGTATTCGAGGAAAAAAATAAAATAATTTTCAGTTCAGATAAGTAGATTTACATGAAATTTGTCGATCATGTTGAAAGTTTCACACTTTGATCATTTACAAGTGTCCAGTTTGTTTAATTGGCATCAAATGCAGAGATTACAAACACCAGAAGCATTCTGACGTTTCTTGAATTTTGATGCAGTGAGTGCATTGAACTCAATCTTCCAAAGATGGCGCATCCAGGCACCGGCGAATTCCTGGAATATCAGCGGCGAACCATGCACCGGAACTGCTCGGAGCCAAGGCAATTCCGTTTTTGATGATCCTCCCAACAATCCAGCCATCACATGCAATTGCTCCTTCGACAATGCCGCTACCTGCCACATCACCAAGCTGTACTCTCTCCGTCTTTTGCTGCTCCGGCCAACGCATTCACTTCTGTTTGGAACTTTTGATCGGTTGCTGAATTGAACTCTTAACTGTTTGTTCATTTTCCCAGGAGAGTGCAAAAACTGAACATAC